TTAAATCTCAACCCACTCCAACTTTAGATCGGAGTATAACCCGGTTTGCTCCGGAGTATATTGCTCCGTTAACAACCTACCGTGCATATTTCGAAATAGTAATTAGCGGAGCAAGTACCAGAGGTGCTAAAAAATAAATATAGTATATATTATTTGCCTGCTTCTGGTATTTTTTTCTGGCTTTGAGTAGTCACTGTGAGAAGGCAGAATTTATACTGTTATCTCGATTTCATGCTTTCCGCATTTAATAAAATAAGATCCAGCTCCATATTTACCTTTTATACTTTTCTTATCTTTATGATTTAGCTTGTATACTGGACATAACGACTTATCAATAATTCTATAATAATCAAAATTTTCACTACTAAATTCTCTATATATATCAGGATATTGACCCAATATTTTATTATGAAAATAAACACGATCACGAGTTGAATTATTCTGTTTTTCAGATAAGGCCTTTTGGGGTAAAGTTTTCTTTTCAGTTTTAGATGTAGATCTTACACTTATCTTGATTTTTGAGTTAGAAGAATTTGTAATTAATAATTCAGTTGAAACACTTACCTTCATATTGGTCTGATCGTCATATTTTGTGACGGTTTTTGAAATCACATGATTATGATTTGTGGCAGTTTCTAATAATGCTTCTACTGAAGTTATATTCTTGGTTTGAATTTGATTATTAGTAAGGCTTGAGATGGCATATATACTGTAGATAACTTGCTTAATTTTTCTATTCCAACTCTATCTTTTCCAAATAACATCCGAATTTTTTTGGCTCTTAAAGTTTTTATATGCAAGTTTCCTGATGTAATATCAGGTAGATGGTTTAATATTTCCTTATATAGTTGTGTTCTAGCAGTTTTATCTGTAACTCCTGTCTTATAGCAAATTTCAATAACTTTATTTTCAAAACTATCGGAGTAATAGTACCAAGATAAGATTTCTTCATGTCTAGCTCGAATTGCATTTTGGAATAAACAAATTAAGCTTTGTGTTGTAATTTGGAATGATTGATGCTCAGTAATTTTAGAGGAAGCCGGTAAGACAATGACATTACTACTTAGCAATTCTTTTGTTAATCCTTGCTCTATACATTGACTTTTAGTGAGCTCAATTTCATCAGACTCTTCAAACACATAAATGTTATAATTTTGAGACTCACTTCCCGATCTTTCCTGCGATAAATATTCTTTAGTTTCTATAACAGGATCCAGAAAGTTTTTTTGTCGATCGTCACGATTCGTAACAGAAATTTCTTGGCATTTTTCACTTACATGATTTTGCTCGGGAGAGATAGAAGTATCTGAAATTAAATTTGGGGATTGGTTTTCAGCTGATTCATGTTGAAGCTTCTTCTCTCTATTGCGTTGCTTTATCTCGCTACTAACTCTTTCCTTACTTTTCAAATCCAGAAATTCATCGATCTCTTTATCCCCTGATGAACCAACCTCTGGTTGAAATGAAGACTCCTAATGCACATCAGAATTTGAAACGTTACCAGATACATCAGGATTTGAAACATTATTGGATTCAGATGTAATAGCATCCTCACGTAGTAAGTCAGAATTTGAAACATTGTTGAATATATCAGATGCTAGAGCATCCTTATTTTGCAAGACCTACTCCTGTTCAGAGATATCATCAGAATTTGATGTGACATTAGTTATTTCAGATGCAGGGGTATCGTTTGAATTTACTATTTTGGTAGAAGCAGTATTGACCAAAGATTTACTATTTTGTAACTGTTTTTGTTCTAATTTTGTGATTCTATCTCTAAGCTCAATATTTTCAGTTTTAAGATTCATGGTATCTGATTTATATTGCTCCAATTCCACAATTCTAGCCATAAGCTCATCTTTCTCTTTCACAGTTTGTTCCAATTCTGCAATTCTGATCAAAAGCCTGGCATTCTCTTGTTTCAATAGATCTAGTTTGGATTTAGTATTTCTTATTGTTTTTTATATGATATGGATATATTCAAAAGTTCGAAGTCACATGATTTTGATCATTCCCTGAAAAACGGTTTTGATCACGATTAATATACACATATATTACATGAAAAAATTACTAGTATGTGTTAGATTTGTCTCACAGATAACTTCTGCCAAGAAAAATTTTCGACCGTATCAATATCAATACAATAAAATAAATCCCAAAATACATATGCAAAAGTAAACACGATTATTTATGCGAAATTGAGCTACCAGAGCCAGTTTTATTGATATAAAAATAAAATAAATTTGGAACAAATACAAGTCTATTCATTTTATTGATATAAATAAAGATACATAATAGTAATAAATGTAATAAAATTCTATCTGAATAACGTTTCCTATACTCACCTAGTATTAAGGGGGTGGTGATGAAACAACAGGGCTTACAGTCGCAATCATAAGTATCCTACTCATGTAACTTGGCGCAGCAAACAGATAAGTAAAAATTTTTTTTTTATTTAAAAATATATGACCAGATGTGATCCTCAATGCAATACATAATCACCATTATTAGCTATTACAGCTTCTACATGATCATTCATATCCGCCACTAATTTTGCCACCAGACCGTCTAACAATTGACTCCATTCTTTTACTAACCCGAATGCATCGCGAGCTATGGGGAATATCTTTCATAATAAAAATTGGAAAGAAAGTGAAGCTGAACTTGTAAAAGTAACCGATCGCATTCTTAATACACTGTATGTAAATTCATATCTAATAATAAATCAGTATTACTAGTGTTTCTAATATTTTAATGTTCTTTTACTAGTGGCGAGATGTGGAGCAATCCCGTGTTTTCGACCCATGCATCTTGTAGTGAGCAGAGCGAAGGAACATATGTAACTGAAGTTATAATTCCTTTGCTTTGCTCAAGTTTAGGAAACCTTCCCAATGGCTGTATAGCTCTAAGTACGGCAGAACGCGAAAGTTTAGCAAGTAAATTTCGACGTAATATAGGAATGAATGAGATGCGTATGGGGAAGAAACCTGATGTTATGGGCTTGCTAAAGCATGACGAACAAATTATAGAATTGCTGTATACTGAGTCATCACGCATCATCTGCAGTAATTCGAAAAAAATGAAGATGAAGCGAAACTATGGAGAGAAACTTTAGATGGGGCGAGTTTCATAGGCTTATTATGTAGACCACCTAGTAATCAGTTTGGAGTTGTAGGGATTCAGGTCGCCGGTACAGTTATGAAATTAAACATTCTTGTAAAGGATCCGGCCGGAAGACTGCGATATTTTCATCTTGATCAAGCTGAAATCCCACTATCTTCTCACACATTGCATACTAGATCTCTTGTTTGTTTATTATTAACTTTAAAAAATGTAATAATTGTGAACAAAAGCTTGCTGGAACAGGCATTAGAAAAAGCTACATTGCATCCACCACGAAATCCACAATTACAGTCGCAGTAATAAGTATCCCTATCTGGCTAATTTTCTGGTAACCAAGTATAATGCCATAAAATTTTCCAAACATGTAGTACAATATAAATACTGATCACACTTACTTTTTTAGGTCCGTTGATAATCTACATCAGAAATT